CCCGGCTGTGTCACTAATGAGCTGCAGGATATCAGGGAATGATGCTTGCTTTCTATGGAGGCTCGGTTTTTTCAGTTTCCCCTACATCTGTGAAACTGGAATAATATTGCACTGAGCGCAGCGCCTGGCACAAAGCCACAAGCTCAGTAAGTGGCATCCCTCAACATCTTGGTCATTGTTCCAAACTTTTGAGAAGTTTGCCGCCATGACCTGCCTCCCTCTTGCCCTGTTTCCGCCCCCTGCACCCTCAGCGGTGATGCTGAATTGAAGTGAGAAGTTAAGTGTCACTTTGTGGCTTGGTCAGATTGCCAAGTTGTGAAGAGGAAGGATGGTGAGGCTGTGAACAACACAATCTTTTTTTTTTTTTTTTTTTAATAAAGTGAGACTTGTCCTGCTAAAGTTAGCCTGTTGCCCTCGGAAGGTGGGAAGCCAGACTGAATAACAAAATAAACCTCTTTCATTATCCTTTAAATTTGGGGTCACTGGCAGTTTTTACTTACCAGCTTTTAAATGCCAAGTAAAATTAATTCATAGAACCTTAAAGATCTAATCCACTTAGATCGTGGTGCTGGTTGTACAGCTCTGTAAATATACTAAAATTCATTGAATTTATACCCTTAAAATTAGTGGATTTTATGGTATGTAAATTACATCTCAATAAAGCTTTTTTAAAAAAAAAATCAATCATTTTGTGATGAAGTAACTGGCTGTGATGGCAGACAGTCTGATCCATGCTTCACTTATTTCATCTTAGACCTCAACAACTCTGGGGAGAGTTTGGTTACTTCAAGAATCACTTACCTTGTTTGTAATACAGCTTATGTAGAAAATCCATTTTCTTCCTGATATATGTCTTTCTGCTTAAAATGCTTTAAATACTAGAGTTCCAATAAAAGGAGAGAAGCTGGTGCTGTAGGGAAGAGTGTAGCAGACCCTTAATCAGTAAACATAGCACCAGACAAAATTGACTACGTTATAGATTATTAGGGGAAAATGCATTAATACTTTGAAGCTACTTTGACTGTAGATAGCAGAGTGTGTAAGGAACCAGCTTTGGACAGCAGTGTGAAAACTATCTGTCATTACCAAAACAACTAGATGTGAATTGGTGTTTCCCAAGTTTTTTTTTAAGGCTTTTTTTTTTCCCTTTCCCTTGAGAAGCTGGCTTATAGTGTTTATTCTCTTAGCCAGGCTTCTTGCCATTAGCATGGCAGGTATAGACCTTTGTTTGTCCACAAGGATCGTTTGTGCAGAATTGTTGGGCTCCAGTTAATGAGAGGTTGAGGAATTGCTTAAGGAGGTGAGAGGGGAGAGCCTGTGAATCTGAAGACAGACACAGTCACCGTATCTCCTGTGACTCTGGGCTTAGGGTCAATTTGGGGCACCAGTTTCTGTGCCCAGTCCGTAGAGAATGAGTAGGGTATCCTGTAACCAGTTGGGAAGAGTGTTGCAAAAATTAGTTAATTTTAAAAATACATGAACACAGAATGCTACAGATTCTGAGAGCTCTCATTATTACTACAGTAAGTGAAGTCTGGGGGCAGCACTGTGTTCTTCCTCGTTTTTCACCAACGTCCGGTGCATTTTTGTTCTTTCGCGCTCATTATTTTACCCCGTCAGTAGCTCTGTCTTGGTTTGAATCCTAGCCCCGTGTTTTGCTAACTGAGTAACCTAATCAGACTAAATCTCAGGAATTTCTTCATCTGTAAAATGTTAAAAATAATCCTTAGCTTATTAGGTGTTAGGAGAATTAAAAGGTTGTAGATGTGAAGTGTATTAGCCTGATGCCTGACACTAAGCCCTCAGTAAATGTTAGTATTGTTGTTATTCAGTACTTTTATGTAAAAGATATCGCTGATCTTCCTATTTTTAAGTAGTAATATTGTTAGAATCGGAGACCTGTGGTAGAATTACAAGCACATCCATGGTTGCAAATAAATTATGCTCCAAATATGTACGTGTCAGTGTACATTCAAATATGGATGTGTAGAAAGAAAGGCTAGGTGTCCAGACCAGTCCACAGAGGCCAACTTACAAATGAAAACCTACTAGTGTTCACCTGAACCACAGTCCTAATAATACTGGATCCAAAAGCTATTTGCCATTGTTCCCAAGGGAAAACTGCTCTTTGACCTTTAGCTCCATCTTCTCTGTTACATGGTGGAGTGTAACCTCTGAAGGGGCGATTCCCTCATATCTCAAGCAAGAATTGAGGCATTCACAGAGACATGGAGATGCCAGGGCGCCTGTAACGTCTTAACTCTGTGCCTTGGAGAGAGTCACCGCCTCGCGGGGCAGGGCCAGCGGGGTCCCAGTCAGTGTCAGTCTCACTTCAGATGTCTGAGTTAGGAGACAGGTGCCAGTTACCTCATGTTCTCCCATGTTTTCTTGTCATTTAAGTTCCTTGTGTCTTAATTTGAGGCCTAGCCACACATGAAAAGATCAGTAAAAATTGATTATTTGCAATCATTCTCCTACCTCCCCCTACGCTTTTAGATTGCAGGTCTGTGTCACTTTGGTCATGGGCTCAGAAGTGAGTTTGTTGCCACTGGCTTCATCCTCTTCCTTGTCTTTTCCAACATTGTTGTAGCAAAGGAGGCAGTTAAAGTGGTGGTAAGGGAGCACTGATGGACCACGTTCCTAAGCGTGTATGTTCTTGTTGGCTACTAATAGAAAATATTTTTGGTAACTATTGCAGAGTACTTAAGAGGTATATTATTAATGGTAATAGATTTTAATCACTGATAAAAATCACTTTGGTTACTTACTCTAACACGCATTTCGTGTGCTACTACCAGGAACTTTTTTGGATGTTTAATGCCTAATCAATATGTTAGAATTGTTCAGACATTTTCTGTGGGAGACAGATTGGGGATTTCTCAAACTCTAAGAATGTTTCTGACTGTGATTGTGCATGTCAGGTGGGATTTGAACCTCTCAGTTGGCCTTTTTCTCTTTGAAGCAGGATTTGATAAGACTCTCATAGATACTGTAATGAGAAATATCATTAGACTTTTTTTTTAATGGTTTTAACCCAGTTTGCCAGGAGCTAATAGTACATATTCCTGGGGAGCCAGGATTCTTTGTTATTTGATTAAAAACTGCCTGATTGAACATGCTTGGAAGTCATATTTGGCCTAAGAGGACACAAATATGACCTGGATTTTTTTTTTTTTTGGATGAGCGAATTCCTGGTCTTTGCATATGTCATGCTTTGGAAACAGATGGCCAGATGTATCTATCTTTAATTTTCTGATGTATTCTTTATTCTTCCCCAGGTATCTCTCCTCTGTGTCATAACCTCTTTGCCCTGTATGATGAGAACACCAAGCTCTGGTATGCTCCAAATCGCACCATCACCATCGACGACAAGACGTCGCTCCGGCTCCACTACCGGATGAGGTATGCATGCCTGCCTGGGCTCCCTCGTGCAGGGGCGGATGACAGCTGGCCTAGAGCCCCGAGTCACTTACCAAGAAGTATTAGTCATTTTTGTAATGCATAAATTTTGTATTTGCTTGGTATGAGAAAGGACTTCTTCAGTATTTGGAATACAATTCAAGACGAGTTTGATCCCCTTCCTCTGCAGCATTTTAGAAAATCATTATGGTGTAGTGGGTATTTTGAATAGAATTAGTAATCTGTAGCAGAGTTTTTTAGTATAGTTTCACATGAATCATGGTTATGAATTTAATTTATTGAGTTATGACTAGAATTTTTTTAAAAAAAAGAAACATGAGAATAAACAGTATCAGCATATATATATATATATATATATATATATATATATATATATATCCCTAAGAATATTGGTTTTTAGAACTTTACTCTGAGATGTATAATCTATCTGCATGTACTAGGTCATGATAAAATATATATATATTTTTTTTATTAAAAGCTGCCACTAAACGGCTTGAGAATCACTGCCTGAAGTGAAAACCTAGAAATTCTAGCTTAGTCTTGTTCTAAAGGAGTGGATGTTTTGATCCACTGCCCGAGGACTTTTGTTTAGTGGGGCTGTGGTTTTTCTTCTGATGGGTACTTACCTTTTCTCCCGTGTTATAGAGTTTGTTACATGTCAGTCTCCCAAGGTGGCACAGTCAGTCAGAACTTGAGAGCTCTAGTCTCTTGAATTTATTAGCATGTTTATTCTGTATGTAGAATTCAAAGTTAACACGTGTGTTTAGCAGAGGAGCATATAAATAGGATGAATCCTTTTTGAAAAGGATCTTAACTTACATAGATACGACTCAGTCAGTCGATGAGCTCAGGTGCTAAAGGAACGCAGGGACTTGCTGGAGAAGTCCTAGGGGAGCTCAGAGGCTCTCTCAGCTGCTGTTCCCGCTGGGAAGTCAGACGCATTGTTACCGTTCCAAAGTGGCCTGGGTGTTTTTCTCAGCGGAAGCTGAACCAGATCTGTGTTCTCTGATAATCACCCTGGGGCTGACTTTTTCTCTTCTCTCTCTACTCACCCACAGCCTTACCTGAAGAAGAGAGGTGTGTGTCATGTGAGATTTCATGCCCCAGATTTAGAGAAACCATCCCCCCTCCCAGCTGAGCCTTCTGACTATAATTGGTTTTGTTTTTCAAAGTGCAATCTTGCTTTCTGTGGCCTGGGGCTTGGCTGTGTGACCCAGTGTTGGTCATGTATCTGCAGCTCAAAGTCTAGGA